TAAAAAAGGACTTGCATTCCAATCCTGTGCATTTTTACTTAGAATTCTGAGTAAATTACTGCTTGGTAAGTGTGCATAGGATTGAAACCTTAATGAATGAAACATGTGCTCATTTTAATTTGAGCAGTATTTTATTGAAATGTTTAAGGGTGCAATCCTGTAACCTCTTAACTGGGAGTAAACCCCATTGGCCTTAACAGGACTTATTTCTTTGTAGGTAGGATTGTGTTGAGAGCTACATTGTTTATTTATTATCTATCTATCTAAATAGAGAATTGTGTTTATTAATGATATTCAAATTGTTAACTATCAGAAACATTTTTTAAAAAATAAAAAATGCATAATCAAGTAGTGTAGAAACTGTAATGTTTATTATTTTTTTACAATCCCAGGATTATGTGATCTACATGTAATATATGCATGGCGTCAGTATGAACATACAGAGTAACCAGAGCAAAAGCAAAAAAAGAGAGATAATAAATGAAAGACTGCATGAATGTATGAAGGGCGATTCAAGATTCCGAAAAGCTGCTAGAGTTGTCCTCTCTGGTTTAAGTACCACTTTAGAATACAAAGCCGTATTGTATGGACAACAGTAACCTTAGAACGGGTTATTTTCTTTTTCAAACTGGCATTGCTCTGACAGTACAGTATAAATTTATTAGTTCCTTATTAGCTAAACACAAATTGTGCAATGAATAAAATTCCATAATTAAAACATTATGACAGATAATTGGGATTAACATACACACACACTCTCTCTTAATATTTATTGTGCTTCAACCCAAAGCCCACTTACTAAAGAGTAAGAAGCGTTGTACTTCAGAGGACTTCTGTGGAGCAAATACACACAGTATTTTTCACTGACCATTCAGTTTTTAAAATAGTGCAAGGACATCACAAATATTAAAAATCATAGGATAAGAATGACTATTTTGTTCACTGTAAAGTAAAATATCCAGAATGATCAAGGCAGTAAACAGCCTTGATCAAGTCAAACACAATGCCTAAGCATACAACTTCATATTAAGGCATAATGGTCAACAAATGAGATAATGGGTTATGCCAGCATATAGCATGGTACAGAAAATTTATTTGTGTTCTCGAAATTAAAGCAATATATGTTCCAAAAATATATAAGCTATACTTGCAACCAGACATCTCTGGTTCATGAACGTATTTTCAAAGAGTGTATCTTTATAGTAAAAGTGTTATCAGCTGAAAGTCTGGTGACTGATGACATCACTAATATCATAGCTTCTATCCATCATGGTTGATTCAATCAACCTCCGGTTCCCTCCTACTGCAGACAGACCATACAGAGACTTGTGCTCTAATTCTGCAGAAGTCGCTATCCAGCTTCTGATAAACCTTGCATTACCAGTTGCCTATCAAAAGGAAGCACAAAATAATCATGTCAACCTCAAGTGCTCATCTAAGACTGTAGTGCAAAGCTTTTCGCTCCCACAGGAATACAATACAGTTGGGTTTTGTGCTGCTTCTTTCGTACAATGTGCTGCTTCTTTCGTACAATGTATTTGGAAACACACTTTGCAGACAGCGAGATAAAATAATAAGATACTACTTTGTTGCAGCTGTGAGGAGGTACTCATTATACGTGCCTAAAATGGAGATACTTTGTCAAGAAAGGATTGCAGTCCTTGCAACTGTAGTGTGATATATGCGGAAGAAATATAATGCAGCCTATGCGGGAGTAGGAGGAATCTATAAATTGGTTTCTGTGGTCCTTACATAATGAGAAACTCTTAGACATCAGAGCCGTCACTGTTCATATGCGGCAAGACTTTAAGCAGCAGCCTATTTTTTTTATAAATGTTGGAAAACAATTACAAAATTAGTTATGTATATGTTTGAAGAATGGGACAATTTGGTATTCCAAGGTTATCAGAATTTATACACTCTTTTAAGCATCTATAGTTTATTTTCAATGTTATTGTTAACCCCTTTAAAACTTTTATACGTTGTGTACTGCTAACACTTATTGAGGTGGCTTGCCTAGCATGAAAAAATTTATCAACATAAATAACAGTTTCTACCAAAATAAAGGAGGTGCACGGCCATCAGCACGTCCATACTTAAAAATCAACAAAATCCATGAGGTACCAGTTGGACAGCAGACGTTTTTACGTAGGTTGCCCAAGTCTCAATAATGCTGGTACCAGGAAAATGGATATGTGGAGGGAGTTCCATAAATGAGGTGACACAAAAAAGTTGTGACCACTCATGTTGCTTCAGAAAAGAGAACACACAGAACTGACTCTCCAGTGAAGATCTGAACAAATGGGCAGGCTCGTTTTATTTTGGTAAATGCAGTTTAATTTCCAAGTATAGTGTTATACAGTATAGCCAAACCTACCATGCAGTAATATAATGTACTCTATTAAATCTTCTGAGAGCTAAGGAGAGACCGTCCATTACTGAGGTAGTATCATCGGGAAGTGTCTACTGTACTATGACGTAAAAAGCAATTGGTTACATTTACTTTTGCTGAGAAATTCATATAATCATAGAATTGCTTCTGAAGATGTTTTGGAGCACTGTTTTTTTTAAAACAGAACCCCTTTAGGATTGTGTTTCATTGTGTACATTTTTAAATTAATTAAGCACATGCTCATTCCCCCTCTCTTTAAGAGTTGTTTCAAACAGGGAAGTAGTACCACATGGACAGTACCATTTCAGATTATAAGTTGAAAACTGCATTGTTGAATTCTCCCGCTTGTTATTTTTCAACTCCTCCAAAACGAGTGTCTTGAAAGGAAAGCTAGTATCTTGATTTTAGTCCAGCTTTTCCTCTAACATGCTATATTTCAGCATGCAGGGAGAATTTAAAAACAATAATAGATGCAGCCTTCAGATATGTGATAGGCACAGGAATGGTTGCACCTTCTACGGTCTTGTGTACAGTTTCTTTGTTAAAATGATAAACTAAGGCTATATTCCTAGGGGGTAAGAAAGAGGAAAAGGCTGTTGCCTTTATGGCGTGGTTGTGAGATTCCCAGAAGCTTCTGGTTGGCCACTGTGGGAAAAACTATGTAGGCTGTTAGTCTGATCCAACATAGCTCTTTTTACATCATTGTATGGATTGGCTGCCTTCTAAAGTATTGTGTTTAAAGAAATGTTCCCTTGATAGTGATTGATTTATGATGGCTATTTCACACATCCAGTGGTCAGTGCCCATATGTGAACTCAGCCACAGTAATAATGTTTTATATATCAATGTATTTGTACACCAGTACTAATAAGAGTGTAATACTCCTGCCAACCTAGCAGTTCGAAAGCATGTCAAAGTGCAAGTAGATAAATAGGTACCGCTCCAGCAGGAAGGTAAATGGCGTTTCCGTGCGCTGCTCTGGTTCGCCAGAAGCGGCTTGGTCATGCTGGCCACATGACCCAGAAGCTGTACGCCGGCTCCCTCGGCCAATAAAGCAAGATGAGCGCTGCAACCCCAGAGTCGGCCACGACTGGACCTAATGGTCAGGGGTCCCTTTACCTTTACTGATAAGAGTGTAATACTTGGTATTAGCGTTTCCCAAACTTGGGTCTCTAGCTGTTTTTGGACTACAACTCCCATCATCCTTAACTAGCAGGACCAGTGGCCAGGGAGTATGGGAACTGTAGTCCAAAAACTGCTGGAGACCCAAGTTTGGCAAACATTGCTTTAGAGCCTTTCGCATCAGTAATGCATTAGAAAATGTTGGAAGGATAGTGTGCTCTGTGCCAAGCAACAATTGCCGTTATGCTGAGTATACCATTGTGTAGGACCCTTTTGTAATGATTGGAAGTGCATTATTTAGCTTCCTACTGCTTAATTTGAGCTAGGGCTTCCCATAGGGGCCAGATTTCAATGTGTGGGGTTGGTTTGTATCGGATGAAGAAGAGAATATATCTGAACATGTGTAGCATGTGCTTCAGCCTATTCGTTCTTGGATTAGGAGGCAAACTTTCAGACATTGCTGAGAGGCAAGAGAGTAGAAACAATGATGCTTCATTATATATATATATATATATATATATATATATATATATAGTGTAAGTGAAGGCCCCTACCCTTGAGTGGTACAGTGGAACAACACTATACTGTACAAGAGGAAGAAAATACATTGAGGAAAAAAATTACAAATGCCATGGGAATTGTATTAAAAATGGCATGGGAAAAGACGTTACAAGTATTGTTCAGTAGTTCCCTGTGACAGCCACCTAGGTATATACTGACAGACCCTATTGAGGCATGAGACTGAACATGTGTGAGCTTAAATTGGGAAGGGATTGAGGGTTGTACATGTAAGACCTCCCAGTATCTCAGTGCCTGCTGACTCAACGTCAGATCTTTAGTGTAAGCTGCATTCCTTATTGTGCGAATGCATTCAGCCAAACACATATAGAAGCCTTTTACAGACTTTCATGTTTAGAATGTAAAGGTCTGACATGGAGCCATTGTGCATAAGGGAAAGTTGAGGGCAGGTCTTGTGTGCACATCCCTGACCCCCTCCCAAATTTAAGACCTTAAATGTTCGTTCAAACATTGCACTGGATTCTAGTTGTGGCAAGGAGTCCCATTTTCTCTGGAATAAAATAAATTAGGCTGTTGGCATTGTTTGGAAAGTGCAGTATTTCCATGATACAAAGTCTGTTTTTTAAAAGAAGAAGGAAGTAAATATAACAGCGAAATGTTTTTGAGATGCTCGTGAGTTGTCGTCCTTTGCAGCTATTATGCACAGGGTTCTGTGTAAGCTGTATGCTAAATAAGAAATACATTGAAATTCTGCATAAACGTTATCCAGATTCTGTACCTAGAAAAACTCAGGCTCGATACATGTTATGCACTTTTGCTCCTATATTTAACTTTGCATAACTCAATCATTTATTTATAACCTTTCCTCCAAAAAAGCTGAATTGGCATACATGCTTATTATCCTGCAGCCCTGCAGTGTAGATTAACTAAGGAATAGTGACTGGCCCCCAAACCACTCTGAGCTTCCTGGCTGAGTAGGGATTTGAACCCAAGTCTCCACAGTCCTAGTGTGACACTCTAACCATTATACCACACTATCTTATTCTGCTCCTGCTGCTCATGGGGAAGGGGAAAGAAGAATAGCCCCACCTTCCAACCTCTTGAAATCATCTACTGATGCTCCCTCCAGAAATGGGAGTTTTCACTAACCATTGCCTGTCTTTGCAGCCAGGTGATCAATTCGAATTTTTTTGCAATTTTCTGTGCTTGCATGGGATAAAATAAACACACATTTCAGCTACATTCTTACAAAGAATATGAATAAAAAATATCGAGACTTTCTGGTATTTGGTTGAAAAGCTGGAAAAATTGCAGTAAAGGTCTCAACTCTGGCCGAGAGTGCTTTGCAATTTGATCGTTTGAACTACTTTAGACTAAACACTTTTATATAAGTGATATGTGTTTTCTCCTTCTGGTGACATGCGTCCTCCCTTATTAAATGCTGCTGTATCTCTTCTTCTGAACTGTTTGCTCTTTATTCATCGCTGTGTGGACTTGTCTCATCACCATCAGCGTCTCTGTGAGCTTTCTGAACATCAAAGTTGTTTTGCAGTTAGCGCTATCACGTAACTGTTTTCCTTTCCCCTTATGCCCACTTTTTATGTTATGTCAGCGCATAAATAAATGTAAGTCATTTGCATTTCTAAGTTACCTCAGTGCAGAAGGCACTTGTAAGAAATGCCCCTTTCCACACAGAACATTGGCAGGTTGTATTTCTGACAGTTAAACTTGGACTAGCTACAGTGGGCTGCTGAAATGGAATCATCTTACCTATTTTTCCTTGAACAGGATAGGTAAGAACAGGAGCAGATTTAGAAGACTACCAGAGATGGGAAATAGGACATACCTTTACCTCCTGTAATGGAAATAACTTGTATGCCTGCAACTCAAATTAACAATTTTAAAGTTCTGGTGATTTCAATATGGAAGAGTTAAGCATGTGCTAACCTTCCTGTTGAAAACAACAAGACTTGGACATATTTAACTGGAGGGTTTCTGCACACCTTTTACCTTTCCTTCTTTAATAAAACATTTTTTAAATTTTTTTTTAAAACCCTTGTTTTGTCTTTAAAAAGCAGTTTATCTTAAAATGTCAGCATGTGTTTGTCTTGTTCTGTTGCAGCTGAATCAATGTACTCTAGTCGGTTTCTTTAAAATGTCCAGGGAGAAATTGTTCCAATAATGTACTGGAAGTGAGTTATGAAACAGGAGAGCGGAGTGGAAGGCGGGGAAATACTTGCTTTGCAGTTTCAGCATCTGAATGTATTTAAGCTCATTATCCATCAGTTAGGATTCCAGTGCATTGTGTTTAATATTCTGTAACTTTAATTCTAAACATGTTACCCAGATTATATCGAAACAATGGGGTCAACTTCCATATGCTGCCTTTAGAATATGTATATGTATATGTATATGTATATGTATATGTATATGTATAGCTTGGTACCTATTAATCATTAGCTCTCCTCATTTTTAGCTTTTTCTCTTTGTAAAATCATGGTTTTCAAATCTCCTTCAATTTTAGCTCCTGAGGGGATGAAAGAAGCAGAAAATGTACTCAGATGGCCTAAATCTGTCAAGGCGAAGGGATTTTGGAGTCTGTAGCCGTATTCCTGACTCTCCATAAATGTCTCCATATGAATTCTGTATGGTTAAAGCTGTATAAACTTTGGACAGGCTGAGAAGAGAAATGAAGAACTATTCTTTTGCGTTTTTGGTACTAGCAGGCTTCGTAGCAGTAATACATGCTGGTGCTGCTCTACAAATACTAGGCATTGTGAAAACTGTGTGTAGCAGGCTATACTTGCCACCATTTCATCTAAGCTTGAAATGACTACTTTTTATTTTTACTTACTTTAATGGTCTGAAATAATTTGTGTTTGAATGGATAAACTAGCTATTAAAATATTACTTGAGGCAGCAGTTTTCTTGTATTGTGTTTCAGCAGCACAGGAATGATTTCATATACAGTGGTGCCCCGCAAGACAAATGCCTCGCAAGACGGAAAAACCGCTAGACGAAAGGGTTTTCCGTTTTGAAGTTGCTTCGCAGGACGAATTCCCCTATGGGCTTGCTTCCCAAGACGAAAATGTCTTGCGAGTCTTGAGATTTTTTTTTCGCTTTTCCCCCCCTTTATCTAATCTGCTAAGCCTTTAATAGCCTTTAATAGCCTTTTAGCAGCTAATCCCCTACGCCTTTAAGCCTTTAATAGCCGCTAAACAGCTGATAGCGCTATTAGCGCTAATCCGTCAATGGGCTTGCTTCGCAAGACGAAAAAACCGCTAGACGAAGACTCTTGCGGAACGGATTAATTTCGTCTTGCGAGGCACCACTGTATATATATATATATATAATAACGTAATGTAACATGAAATACTTTTAGCCTTGAAAGTTCTTATGACTGTGCAAAGTAAGTTAAGCCCACCAGCATTTTACAAGGAGATAGCGTGGAGCAGGAATTAAATGGAAGCCTGGAACTGCAGTGCATAGAGGTTTGGGGATTGGACGTTCCAGTTGCCACTCAGCTATGAAGCCTGTGGGGTGGCCTTGACAGTTCTCAGTATATCTTAGTTCAGTCTACCCTCAGAGGAATTGCTATGGGGGGGGGGAGTGAAATATTGTAAAGAAACAATATTTGTTGTACATCCCGCCTGCCCTCCCCATGGCTGCTTAGCAAAAGAGCTCCCCGCTCACCCAGGAACTTTTGTTCCTGGAGGGCTTTGTGTGCTTTTAACGTGTGTGGTTCGTTTCATCTTCCTCAGTTTAGTATGGTACTCCTGAAACAGTGATTTTCAGGAGCACAAGTTAATTCAAACACCTGCCTGGGTGGCACTAAGGTTGTTTCTGGCTATCCTAATGGGACTGAAGGAATGGAGGCATTGTGGAATTATCCAGCATATTCCATGTATAGTGTGATGGGAATGGGCTGGAGGCGTGTTCATTTGCTGCCCTTGTGTGGGGCCGGCATGTGAGTGTTGCCACCAACACATTCCCTAATTAGGGAGCTATAAGGACCCCAACACTGTACTATTCGTATGCCATTTTTGTAGTTTCTGGTCTCCATTGCCAGTCTTGAAGTATGCATTGGATATGACAGCTTTTCTGCTGCCACAGCAGTGGTATATCTCTAGTCCTGGTGTAATGTGAATATAGGGTTTTTCTGTGTGTTGTAGGACTATTTCATTTATTTTGGTAACTTCTCTTTGTGTGGAATTTATTGGTAAAGAGTACAAAGAACATAGGAAATAAGATGAAAAAAATATTATTTTTTTAATTTCAGGAAGTCTAAAGATGGTTTGTGTTTTGGTACAAAGTGTATGTTTGTTGTGACATCATTCACATTCTTAAGCCAGTAGAACATCAGTATGTACAGTAAATAATTAGATGCAAAATGCTTAGTGAGTATTTAATAATACAGTTTTCTAATTTTCTGATTAATGATGAAACATATAAAAACATTCATTATGTTTGTAGGAATTCAAGCAGCCACTTTGTGAATAATGGCTTGATTAACTTCCTACTTTAGAAATGGCACAAAATGAAAGGAAAGTAATCTCCATGAATAGATTTTCCCATTCTACAATATATAACCAAACTATTTCTGGAAGACAGAATTAAAGTCTGTTGCACAGTGTGAGAATTATATAACACACTGCATTATTATTCCCCTGCCATGTGCTTAGTCATATCTGGTCCAAGATGTGCATGAGGTTAACATGCAAATCCTTATATATCCAGTTGCAACCAAAAGTGAAAAAAAAATGGAGAGGGTACTTTTATAAGTTGGGCAGGTAGACCCTCCCTAAGCATCATAAATCAGGCATCCCCAAATTCGGCCCTTCAGATGTTTTTGGGACTACAATTCCCATCATCACTGACCACTGGTCCTGTTAGCTAGGGATGATGGGAGTTGTAGTCCCAAAACATCTGGAGGGCTGAGTTTGGGGATGCCTGCCACAAATTAATGAATGTCAGGATCTAGCTAATATTTGGGGTATTGGAGGGAAGATTCCAGGTCGGGGAAAATTCAGGCTAAGCTTACTTTCCATCTGGGAAAGAGGCTTTAACATCACAAAAGGTCTTGATGACCCTCATAAAAGAGGAGTCCTTGGACCTGGGTGGACTGGGATTGTCAAGGGGGCAGGGAGAGGGCAGGCTGTGCTCACTGGAAAAAATGAGTCTGAGGATAGCTGAGCAGAAGAGCAACTGCTTGGAGTAGGAGTTCCTAGAAACAAGAAAGGGAGAACAAAGGCCAGAACCATCTCTTGCTGAAGGAGGCTGCATTGAGAGACTGGGAACCATGGATGGCTGTTGCATTGGCCCCAAGTTTGCTGAAGCTATGAGAGGGGTAATGAGAGACACTCCCGAGGTATAATGTTCTGCACCCACCTTCTTTGGGTGTATATTGATGAACTCTTAGAACGCTACATCCTCTGTTGTGCCCTGAATTCATAATGGAAACATGACCCTGAGTGAGAGCCTGGAACCTTGCTACTGCTTAGCAGAGGTTTGGGTGATGCATAGCAGTATAATTAAAGAACAGCAAGGGTGTGAAGAAAATTTGCTAGTAGCAGGTAGCATAGAGGGACGCGGGTGGCGCTATGGGTTAAACCACAGCGCCTAGGACTTGCCGATCAGAAGGTCGGCGGTTTGAATCCCCGAGACGGGGTGAGCTCCCGTTGCTCGGTCCCTGCTCTTGCCAACCTAGCAGTTCAAAAGCACATCAAAGTGCAAGTAGATAAATAGGTACCACTCCGGCGGGAAGGTAAACGGTGTTTCCGTGCACTGCTCTGGTTCGCCAGAAGCGGGTTAGTCATGCTGGCCACATGACCCGGAAGCTGTGCGCCGGCTCCCTTGGCCACTAAAGCGAGATGAGCGCCGCAACCCCAGAGTCGGCCACGACTGGACCTAATGGTCAGGGGTCCCTTTGCCTTTAGGTAGCACAGAAGAAGTATGCCCCCCTGTAGCAAATTATTTATAGCCATCAAAAGTACAGGAAAATCTGCAATAAATGGTTAACACAGTATGAGTCTCCAGCCA